TGAAATGACATTTCAAAAACGCACGCTTACCAAGATAAAGTTTCATGTCATGGGAATTGGAAATTTTCGCTTTTTTGGTAAAATATTTCGCACCTGTTCTGCATCTTGTTCTGTTTTAGGCAAATCCCAAAGACGCATTTTCGTAGCACTAAAAAATGGCGTCAAAAATCAGCAAACAACAAGGCAACAAGGAATCCAAAAAATTATATCTAGGATTATTTGATGATAATTTTCTATAGAATGGTTTTTTACGTCCGATTATGAATAAAAGAAACGAAAAACATGAAAGTTTTTTATTTTAATGTGAGGAAATTTCAGAATTGTTTCGTCTTGTTGCTTCGTAAGCATTCTTTATTTTACGTTTTTTAGTTTCCAAATTCGCGATCGCAACGCTTGAGTACGCCCTCTAGCGGGAGCCTGAAAGTATCCGCATGAGTTCTATCATAACCATTGGCAAAGACGTTCGCCATTTTCTTAGCAGCAAATAAGATGCAAAATTTCCCTAAGGAAAAGGAGGAAGAACTTGAGAAAACTAACGAGAACATTTTTTAGTTTAGGACATTTCATTGAAATTGTTCTTTAAAAGAATAATTTCAACTAGAATTCAGCTGTTCTGTTTTCAAGCTACGATTTGAAATTCATATCGAGATCATACAATTATGGATGGGTGATCGTGTAAAGCTAAGGGCGGTGGCGCTAGTGGTTAAATTGCTCTCGCAAGACTTCTGGGTTACTGCTTCCGATATATTTTTACGCCGCAGATTGAAGAAACGCGTCATCATATTATTGCATCATATTTTACGTCTGATTAAGAACTATAAGAATGAGAAAAAAAATGTGACAGATTTTTTTATTTCAATATGAGGAATTTTCAGAATCGCTTTTTTATCTTAAGAATTCTTTGTTTTACGTTTTTTAGTTAATGATTTTTAGATAAAAACTGTCGTCAAAATACTTTTTTGAAAAATTAAATGGTATAACATTGCGTATTTATGCATACTTCTTGCATATTGTAATGTTTGAAGTAATATGATTCAGAAAAGTATGGAATAAAAATTCGGTACTTATGTATTAACGCCACCGCAGCTACAGATTTGGCAGTTTTTAAGTGCCACCAATCTACACCTAAAATTTTTGAGACAAATCATAAAATAAAACACTTTATTTAAGATCAAGTAGTCAATCGGATTTCGATGAGAAATGAGCCGATATAAAGTTTAAAATAGATTCGAAACAAACTATATTTTATCGTTCACCTGATGATGTCGCCATATTAACTCTAATAAATAGGATTCCAAATGAGATAACACTTCCAAAACGTACGTTAACCTAGATGAAGTTTCATGTCATGGGTACATTTGGTACATTTTCGTTCTTTTTTTTTTTTGGTAAAATATTTCGCTCTTGAAAAAATAAAAATGCATCTTGTTTTGTTTTTGGCAAATCCCAAAGACGAATTTTCGTAACACTAAAAAATGGCGACAAAAAAGATTTTTTTGTTTGTTTTGTTTTTTGATTCGTAAGCATTCTTTATTTTGCGTTTTTTAGTTTCTAAATGCTGATTTTTATTGAAACTTGAAATTTTTTGATAAAAATTGTTGTCAAAAAACTTTTTTTACAAAATTAAATTTCATAAAATTATGAGGCTTATGCATACTTTTTGTTCGTTTTAATTTTTGAAGTAATAAGATTCTTAAAACTATGGAATGTAAAGTTTAAATAGGCCTTTCATGTTATATCATTAAATTTAGCGAAACTATTTCTCGGGCATTAGGCTTTAACTCTTATAAAAATATACATATTTTTTTTTGCTAATTTATTTACAAATATTTTTCCGCTGTGTTTTGGATGTTCCTTCTCTAAATAAAAAGTGATACTATTTTGTTTTCGTTTTGCATAAGTAAGAATATCAAACATTTTTCTTTTTTAAATTTAATAAGTCACAATAAAGAAGGAACCAATGCTACACGCTACATTAAAGACGTTTCCAGAGTATCTGAATGACTGTTCATATAATAGAAATCGCAGGTATTCGTCTCATAGAACAGCGTCTCTTATAGTTCAAGGTCACGTGACTAGTTTACTTCGCTGTCGAATAATCTGGCTCTTGAAATCCTAACTGTATCTTTAATCGTAAAATTATTTGGAGGTAGCGGTAAATTGTTCCTGCTGAGAAAAATTTGAGTTTGCCGGCAAAGATTTCTTATTGTCTGGTTTGTTTTTAATTTATTATAGGTTTTTAAATTCCTCCATTCTTTTACTAACCAAAAATGGAGCTCTCATTTCAAATTATCTTGGAATACATTAAAGCATATTTTCTATGAACATAGTTCTTTGTGTTGTGCAATACTATTCTGACTTCATTTAAAGCATTTTTCAAACACTCAATCTTTTCTTTCTCGGAAAGTCTCTAACACAATTTTTAATAATTCAGAGTAATTTTAAACCAGAAATACTGTATTAATGAATATTGTTACATTAATCGAAGTTCGAAAATACGAAGAAATTTTGTTCTAATTAAAATATTCATCGATCAATCAATTTTTTTTGAATTAAAAATTCTGTAACTCTTCAAACTAAGCAAAGAGCACAGTAGCATAAAAACAAAATCAACAGTTTTTAGCAAAATTGATTCGTATATAATTATTATTATTTTTTTTGTCGTATCGTAATTAAAAATAAAAAATCCCCTTCAAAAAATTATAATCATGGTTAGTTATAAGTTTGATGATATTTCTGTATTCCGTTCGCCCCCGTAATTCTTAAAATAATAGGTACTTCAATGCTAAAAATATTTTTCAAGGAAAACATCCATTCATCATTAAAAGAGATTTCTATCAGAATCTCTTTTAAAAATGCAGAGCTATCATAAAACGCCTATTTGAAGCAAAACAAAAAATATAAATATCTTTATTTTTGTAGCAAAATTTTTAAGTTAAACAATTCATTTTATTCAATTACCATATTTTCAAGAAAAAGTAAAGATTATTGTCGAATAGAAACCCTTTTAATTGTTGCATCATTATAACAAGTTTTTTGGAAAAGAAAAACGTAATAGAAACCAAAACAAAAATCTTTCTTGAAAGATATACAGCCAAAAACCTTAATTTAACTTTTTTGCACCTCTGTATTTTTAGAAAAAAGTTACCATAAAACAATGGCGTTCGTTAGAAATGCTCTTTAAAAAATGCAGATAAAAAAATTAAGAAAATAAGTTGAAACCGAAAAAATTGTACTGAATCTCTTTGTGTATAAGAAAAAAGTGTCAATAAATTAAGTCTATTGGAATCGTTTTGTTAACATGCTTCGCTTTAGGTAAAGCAGAAAATCAGGTTTAAAATGAAGCAAAGAAAAAAGTTCCTTATTTTTAAAATATTTAGAGTTGAAAAAATGATAAAATAGACGTGCCTGAATATAATTAGGAGAAGAGAAAAAATCAGTATTACAAACTCATGGGTCAGTACATTATATCCCTAAATATTATTGGTGGGTACCTCTTGTAAGTCAATTTTGCAACATTAGCAATAAATATTTTTTCCCATGACTTCAATTTACTTTTTATTACATTTGATCTATTATAAAAAGCAAAAGCTTAAAGTAAATTATATTTTTTATAAATCCATTTACCTAAATATTAAGTAATATGTTAATTCTTCATAGTAATACATTTTTTATAGTTAAATCTGGTACCAATTCATTAGAGGGCCCTAAAAACTTATTACCAAGCTTTTTAGGGACCTATTACTAAGCAACACCTGAGTCAATAATCTTAGATGTTCCAGATGTACAATGTACATATTTAAGTTTTTTAAAAATTAGAATAAACAAAAATGATACAAAGACTTAATTTCACGAAAATCATTTGAATTCATGTTGATGTTCGTCTGATTCACATATCTGATTTTGATTAATGAAATTTTCCATAACTTAAATTAGTTTGTTTCCCAGTGAGGCTTCAAGTTATCATTGTTTCACTTAACAAAATACAAATTTTTCTTAAATCAAATTTTTTTACCCATTTATTTATCCAAAATCATATACATATTAAAAAATATTGCTAAATTTCATATTCTATGTACAGGAAAAAATTTAATAGATTTAGCAATTTTAAGGGATATACATTACAATAAGTTAAGAAATTTATGTGCTTAAATTGTTCTTGTGTACAGATTAGTTTTACTGTTAGTGACATAGTTTGAGGCACTGAATTACTTAATTATAAAATTTTTATTTTCTTTCCCTCATAGAAATAAAACACTATGTCCCGTCATTAGCTTTTATATTTATTAATTTTGAGGAAAGTGGAATATCAATCCTAATATTGCACAGATCAGGGTCTAAAATAAATGACAGTTTGTTTGTTTTAGACCACTAAAATTTGATTTTAATCAAAAAATAATCAGTGGATTCCTGAGGCAACAAATTATTGTAAAGAGATGGTATGCTGTTTCGGTTTTAATGTTTTGTCTGCATTTTTGTCATAAAATTACATATTTCCTCATAATTTTGAAAACACGTTCTTTGCATTGTAATTTTTCAATTCAATTTCCTTTAAAAATATCAAATTAAGACACATAAACGTGTATATGACACATAAAAGTGTATAAGACCACATAAATGTGTATATTGTCTAGTAATATCTTTTAGTTACTGGTCCTTTGGACCAAAGAAAGTTTTCTTGATTTCTACCCCTTCATGTAATACAGTAAAAGTCTAAAAGACTAATTATTGTAATTAAATGAAACCAAAAATGTAGTAATCTTGCTTTCATATGAAGAAATTTTTTGAAAATTGTTTAGATATAGTTTGTCTGAAGTAACAATTCCCTTAGCCATTCATCTGTGACCCATGGCAGTGACTATATCAGAGATGATTGTGCTCCGGGAAAAATCCAGATTTTCAGATTTTTTGCTAATTGCGATCCAGAAATTTCCCGAAATCCAAGGTCCAGAAGCTTAAATAAATCATTGATTATGTATAAAAACTCTTGTATATTTTATTTAGAAATGGAATTTATACTTGACATATTTTTCATATGTAAATATTTTTTCTGATAGAATAATAAATGTGATTAGAGATAGAAGTAAACTTATACATAATTATTCATTTAAATTATACTGCATATAATTTATTTAGAATTTCATGATTTGAAAATATCTACGGCTAAAATTTATAAAGAAATTAACTTTTTGAAATGCCTCATTAATGAATTAACTCAAGAAATTTGGGCTCACAATTACCCCTGCTATGGTAACGAGGTGTAATTATTTCAAGTAGGGGGTGTTGGGTCATTATTTAGGACAATTTTGGCTCTGTCTGGTCCATGAGAGAAAGGGAAACGTTTTCTTTGATCCATTGTGTTAGCCCTAGAATGTAGAAAAGCTACCCTCCCTGAATTGCACTATTCTTGTTTCCATAGCAGTAGACTGCCTCAGATTATGTGGCTGGGGCAGTTCTAACTATAGACAAACTATAACTGTGTTTTGATGCAGTTTGTTTTGTTTCTATTATTTATGTACTTATCTTTCCACTTTAGTAATTTAAAGATGTCTTCTAAAAAGTCTCAGAAGAAGAAGTTAGAAGAGAGTAGCGATTCTGATTCAGGACCTGACGATGTGAGTTCATAAAATAATTAATCTTATACTTTGTGTTGATGCCTTCACTGAATAACAGGGTTGGCATTTCTTCTGAGTGACTGGAAAAATTGAAAATGATGAATGCAAATGTTTAGTGAGCGATCAGTAATATTAGAATAATTTAAATTTGAGTCAGGTTTGGCATTTTATTTTTCCTGGACATCTCTTTGAACAAACTGGTAAAAGTAGAAGAAATAAGACAACATGGTTGAAATTAAAAATGACAAATTCAATTGTTCAGCAATAGACATAGTAAAAATAGTTTGAATTTTAATAAAATTTAATTTAGTATCAAAAAGTTAAATTTTTTACAACGACTCTTTAAAAAAAATATAATTTTTATAAAAGCTTCATACGGAATTTTAAATTTATGTATCATATTATTTAAAAGTCAGAAAAGTGCTTAATTTTCCCTTTTCGAAAATAAGATTTTTGTTCTTTACCATGTTGATTTTTGCCACGTATTAAACAAAAACGTGTTTTTCACATAGTTCAATTCAACGTTTTCGCAATTCAATCACAATTTATTTCAGCGTCCCGTCGGTCCATAGCGTATGAAAGGGCCAATCATTTTGCATATTTGATGAAATCCTTAAAAATCCACATGTCTGCTACTGAGCGCTGGAGGGTTTGGTGAGATTCTTGCACTCTCATGTGTAATTCTGCTTCATTGCAAGATATTCTCAATTTCAGGCATTTTCCACCATCTGATCCAGGAACCGAAAAACCTCTTCATCTTTTTATAATGGCTAATATAATCAAGTAAAAAGTTCTTAGTCAGAAACTGGTTATTTTATCATGATTATGTAAAGTCTTCGAAAATTATTTTGCATTTTGTTAATGCATGTACTGCTTAAAAATATTTTTTGAGCGCTTGAAAAGTACTTAAAAGATGCTAATTTTTTGTTGAAAGATTTGGTATTAGAAATATGATAACTTGGCTGATGATTGCAAACACATTGAATTAAAAAAGTTTAAAGTGTTTTAAAAATTGTTTGTTTTTCGCTTTTCTGTATTGTTACCTGAAATAAATAAGTCTTGCATTTAAATCTTTCTTCGTATGATGTTGTTCAGTCATTTGAATAAAAAATGTAATTCTCTTAAAAAAATTTTTTTTGCAATTGCAGAAGGCAATATTTTTTTTACGCCTTATAAAGATACAATTTTTAGTATGTTACAATCAGGGTTGGGGTTTTGGACGTCCTAANATTTTTTTTACGCCTTATAACAATACAATATTTAGTATGTTACAATTATTATTTCGTGGGGAAGTCTAAAATTTGTTGTAAAAGTAATATCTAGTACTATGTCATTGTTGTTACGTCAAGATTTTATTGTCTAGAATTAAACCTTTAAAAACAGTTTGTCAGAAGAGATATATCAATATTTGTTCTTATAAAGATAAAAAAAGAATGATTAAAGAAGTTAATAATTAAGACATAAAAAAGGGAATTCGGCTTGAATAAAACAAAATTTCTCAGGATACAATTAAAAAACTGGTTTTGGGCTTATTAAGGAGTCTGTCCAGTGCAAATTTACTACAGTCTAGCGGTACCTTCACAAATTTAACTGTAGGAAAAACGGTAGTTTCACAAAATACTTTTGAAAAAGCAAGTTCTAATATCCCCTGCCTTTTAAAATTTTGTTGTTGTATCCCCGTAAAAACGATAAACCTATAGTTAATTACGCATTTTTATTTGCAATGGAACCCACCCGTGGTTCGCTATTATGACCTAGTAGAATTCACTTCCCACACGGTTTGTAAGAAGAGCGCTTTTCCACCCCATGCCTGACTGAAAGCTTGCCAGGATCCTGAAAATTAATTTTAGATATTATTCTAAATATATTCTAATAGACCTTCATTTTTTAATTTAACATTTTTTTCTCTGTGAAACTTTTTCCTGTATGACCCAGTCAAAAATGTTCTCAAAATGAAGATAACTGTCAGTGCTGTTACTGTTAAATGTATGTTTCTTTAATTTCAAGTTGAAGTTTAATTATAGACAATGATTTTTATGGATTTTTAAATTTGGATACAATTTTAAGCCTAAAATTTTACAATAGCAAAATTGTTTTTGAACGTATGAGAAAAATATCTGCAAAAATATAACAGTCATAAATGATTTGTATTTGTAGTGACAATTTTTGAAGATATTTTCTTATTTTACCATATTTTTGTGTTGATTTGTTAACAGAATTTTTAAATTTTCACAATAAATACCTCTTAGAAATACCTAGACAGACCCTTGTTATTATTTTAACTTAATATATATATATGTAATTATAGTTATGCAGTTACTGTCAATAATACTTTTTTTAGTTGTATATGTCAAATTTTTTCAGGTTAATCCTCCCAAGAAAAGCAAAACTGCTGCTAAACCAGCTCCAAAAAAGGCTAGCGCTAGCAACAGTAATGATGAGGACAACATGTTTCAGGTATTATTTAGGAAAATGCTGTCTCATCTTAGTTATTCTCTGTCTCCAACTTATTTCCTATTTATTTCTGAATGTTGAGATTGTTGCATTAATTTACATGTAAAGCCTTGAATAAAAAGGAAAAAAGATATTGTATTTATAGGGTTGCCACTCAATCAAGAAGAAAACCTGGAAGATACAGGGAATTTTAAAATCATCTAAAATAATAGGAAAATGCAGGGAATTTTGATTTTTCTTTTTTACAAACTGGAAAAAATACAGGGAATTTTGTTTCTTACTTTCCTCTTTTTAAAAATGGTGACCACTCAATGTGTAATTTATGGGATATTTAAGGATGATACTACATTTACTATAGCATTATTTAAGTATGTTCAGATGTTCCTTTTTTTTCTCTCAAGTTTTTTCAGGAATTAAAACTAGTATAGATAGTCTAATATAGCTCATACAAGAGCATAGTAATTGTGTTTCATCTTAATATATTCTGTATAATATATATAGGGAAAACACAGGGAATTTTCTTTTCTAGATTTGAGTGGTAACCTTGATTTATGGGTTTGCCAATATTCTAACGTGAGAGGGGAAGTAAGCATACGGTTGAGTCTCGATTGTGTGAGTTTCACATTAATCCGAGCCTAATGCACGCACAGCACATGGAACGATTACTACGATTGATTTTACGAAGATTACTATGACTGAATGTTGACAAGCAAATTTGTATATTTACATCTGAAACGTGAGCACAGTATGTTTAAATAAAAAACATACAATTATTTACAATTGAAGTACTATTTATCTGATGCTATAATATAATGAATATTGTAACTTGGTGTAATGCAATATATGTACCCTGAAATTTTCTGTAAATATATTATCCATTTCAGTTAAATACTGAAATATAAAAATTGTTTTGTGTTAAATAGTTTATTAAATTTAAAGCATTTTTTCAAAACTTTATTAAATTTAAAGTATTTTTTTAGTAATTCGAGATTGGCTTGGTCCCGTCCACCATTATCTTGGCTACTGTATTCTTGTTCAAAGTCTCATAAACTTTGATACTTTTTTTGATAATTTTTTTTATTTATTGCTGTTTCTTTTTTAATGGGAGGAAAAAAAAAATTTGTTTACTTAAAAAAAAAAAAAAATTCGCTTTAGATCTAGGCTGTTATTATACTTTTATTGTGTTTTGCAAATTTTCATTGCAAGATATTCTCATTTATTTAATTAAAAAGACTTTTGTATTCTTTAATTTAAATTCATATCTAATGTTTAAAATTAATTAATTTTATTGAAATATATTACTAACTTTCTTGATAAAAAGAATTTAGTGTCTTGAACTCCAATATTCATATAAAAAAGTACTCTAATGTCTAAATACGTAGGCATACAGCCCTTCATTGGTCAACCTGCTGTCCAAATGGACCTTCACTCAAAAAAATTGTGCATCCCTAATCAAGATACTGAATTTCAATTATATTTGGGATTTTAGTCTTTATTCAAATTATTATCTGATAAATTTTAACCTTTTGTAGCTTGCAAGAATGAGATATGTGAATGTGAGAGAGTTTCGAGGAAAGGTTTTGATAGATATCAGAGAGTTTTATGAAGCAGATGGAGAACTGAAACCTGGTAAAAAAGGTATAAAATATTATGCATTTAGTAGCTTGTTAATAGTATAAATTTTTATTTATATCATTTTTATACTTTAAACATTAATAATAGAGTATCTGGAAAGTCATGGATTTTGGCATTGAACAAAATTTGTCATGAAATGTTATGATTTTAACTATTTTTTTAAAAAAATAATGGAAAGTCATGGACTTAGTTCATCGAAAAGTCTAATTTTTAAAATGGAATTCTTCCCTCCCCCCCAATTTTATAATGTTCCGATTACTGAATTTGTAACAAAATCTCCACTCAAAGTCAGATTTTATTAAAATATAAAATGTTTTTATCGTGTTCTTTAAAATTTATTGTGTTTTTTTCTTCAAAAAATGAAGAAACATCATTTCTAGAGTGATTTATCTTTTAAACTTCTTTGATTTCAGAATTTTTTTATTTATTTATTATTTTTATTTTATCAATTTAAAATTCTTCTTTAGACTTTTTATATTACGCTTTTAAAACAAAATAAAACAGCTTTAAACAACTGTATATATCGGACTGCATTTAGTTATTTGCTTTTGTATTTCCCCCCGGCTATTTTAATGCTTCAACTCTTTCTTTGCTCTGTTTTTTAAGTTTAAAATCAATAAATATGAAGATGTAGAGTATAACAGTTTTGGTTATACCTATCATTTCAATTAATGTTATAATGCTTTATGAAATTTATTGTTGTGTTTTCGTTGGAGAAAATAGTAACTTCGGTAAGACATGAAATATTTTTGGAATTATTCATAGAAAGTCATGGATTTGAAAATCTAAAATGTAGCAGATGCCCTGTAATAATCAGAAATATTTGTTTTAATAATATTTTTATTGATGTGTGTGGTATATCATTTTTGTAAATTATAAACATCTGATTTAATTAGGTTGCTAAATTAAACTTAATTGCAGCTGATTTTCAATTGCGTTAAATTCATTTAATGACATAAAAGTTTTTTTTTTTTTAAATTTTTTCTCCTTCTCAAGCATCTTTGCTCATTAACTTAAAAATATTTAAAGGGTTCTTAAAATACACATTCAGCGACAAATTGAATTTTGAGTCTCGACTTGTACCAACAGAATATTTAAATTTGTTTATAAAACTTCTATCTCTGTAGTATTGAGTAACAAACTATCAATCATACCAATTTTGAAAGTTAGTCTCAGTTTATGGTTCAAATATTTTTTTAATAATTTTATCATGAAAAAAACTTAATCTTGAATGTTTTTAAGCATTAAAAATTTCATCTATTAGTTTTTTTTAATTATTTTTTAAAAAAAATATTTTTTCTTGATCCTGAGCACCAACCAACGGGTCCAAAATCAAAAAATGCAATAAATAAATAAATACAATTGCCTTCTTGTTACTTCATGAAAGAAGCGTTCTCAATGAATGAGCATTAAATTGTAATGAGGTTTATCATTACAATTTTTTTTACAAAACACTGAATCTTGTTTCTAATATAAGAAATTTTTTTATTCAATATATATTTTATAATTTCCGATTTTTGTGTCTTTAGATACATTTTTATGTATCCAATGAAAGTTTCGAAAATTAATGAAGATTTAATAGGGACCATTCACAAATTTAGATTTGTAATTTTAATTCAGTTTTTATTAGTTTAATTATCAATTCAGCATGATTAATGATATTAATTATTCTTATTAATGTTTTTGTTAAGTATACATTTAAAATTTTTTATTTAAATGTAAAAAGACTTAACAACTTTTTTAAAAATTAAATTATAATTTTAAATTAAAGATACTTTTTTTTCTATAATTGAGTAAAGTAAAAAATAAAAGGATCAAACTCCATATCGAGTTTAGTTTTTAAAATTATGCATAAAGTTATTTTATGTTCAATAATATCAAGATTACAATTCTTTTTCTAAAAATAGATTTTTCTATTGCAATTATGTTATCTTCCAAAATTGTTTTTGTAATTTCTTTTCCATGAATTTTTATCAAGGACATTGAAAAAGGATCCGAAAGCACAAGAATGAGCATACTTTAGTTTTGGTTCAATAAACAGAACATTCCTCAGTGTAAAAAAAAAAAAAGCTTATTGTTGAGACACTGAGGAAGGTTCTTGTTTATGAAACCAAAACTATAGTTTAGTTTGTCTAAAGTAAGAACTCCCCTAGCCATTCGTTTGAACCTGTAATGGTGACTATGGTAATGAGGTATAATTATATAATGAGGTTTAGGACCGGTTTTGGCATGGGTCGTCAAGAGAAAGGGGATCTTTTTCTTCAGTCTATTGTGTTACCCTTAGACTGAAGAGAGCTACCCTACCTGAAATGCGCTATTCTTGTTTCCATAACAGTAGACAGCCTCAAACTTTGTGACAGGAGGAGTTCTTACCATAGACAAACTATGTCTATTTCTGTACTCACGTTTGTGCTTATGTTTTTTTTTTTTTTTTTTTTTTTTTTTTTTTTTTTTTTTTTTTTTTTGCTAAGTGTGTACTTAAAACTTTTAATGTAGGAAAATATTTATTGATTAAAACTTGAATATATTATTTGAGAAGAGCTTAATAATTACCCTGTGGCAGAATTACGGCAACAACGTCACAGAACGTTAGTTTTTGCAATAATATTTTTCATTGGGGAAGAACTTCGGTTTCTAGAATTTCAAATTAAAATATAAAATTCAAAAATCTCCGAAGCTTAAAAGATAGTTCGCTCTAGAAATGTTGTTCTTTCTTTCATTTTTTTTCTTCTTTAAAGAACATGTTTTACACACACTTATTTGAGTATCTCTTTTTTTGAGTCCTGTTCACTTGATTTCTTCCTCAATCTTTACTTTGGAGTTACTGCGCAGATTTTACAATTATGAACGAATTTTAATTTATTATTGTTTAATTCATTTACGAATTTTAATTTTTGTAATGACTTCCAAAATTTGAACGAGGAAATAATAGTGCACTTTTTCGCCTATTATATTTGAATTAAAAAATATTACTTATACAATTAAAAATGTTTATGCTTTTTCATGGTGGGTAGTTTTTTTAAAAAATACTTAAAGGTGCTTATTTTCGATATTTAAAAGCCGTAAAAGGTGCTTTTTTCATTGGGTATTTTTAAAAAGTGCTTAATTTTCCCTTCTCAAAAATGAGATTTTTTTCGTTATGTCGGTTTTCGCCGACAGCTGCGTGCTGTCACATTGTTCTATTCAACGTTTTCGCAAATAATTCCGCCGTACCGTCAGTCCATAGCGTATGAAAGTGCCAATCATTTTACATGTTTGATGAAATACTTGCGAGTCGGTATGTTCGTTTACTGAGCTAGGTTGGGTGAGATTATTGCCTTCTCATGTGCAACTCAGCTGCATTTTGGCAAGATATTCTCTATTTCAGACTTCACTTTCCACCCTCTGATATCAAACTGAAAAATCTCTCAATCTTTATATGGTGGCTAATATAATCAAGAAAAGAGTTCTTCGTTGGAAACTAGTTATTTTCTCACGATTATCTAAAGTCTTTGAAAATTATTTTTCATTTTGTTAATGTATATTGTGCTTAAAAATATTTTTGAGTGCTTAAAAAGTACTTAATTTTTGTTGAAAGATTGGGCTATGCACCCTGTTTTTTATTCTGTAAACACATTTCTGTTGCTTTAAATTAGTAATTGATAATTAAAAGTATCTTGGAAAAAAAAATTAATGCAAGGGAAGTTTGTAGCAGAAATCTCGAAAAAAATTGTGCCACAGGGTACCTGTAAGACACTGGGTCATATGAAGCTGTAATCACAATCTTTCGTTTGTCAAGTGCCTGAAAATAATTAATTTTGAGTGTGTTGGGGGGGGGGGGAATTATGAGCATCTAATGCATCATTTCAAGTTGTTGGGTCTCAAACCTGTGTTGTCCAGATGAAAAGCCACTGCCTGAGATAGGAGCAGTTTTATTTATTGAAATAAAGTTTCTGAGAATAAATGACAGTCCATGTCTGGTTACAGGAGTGTCTGCTTTAAAAAGTGGGTTTATAATGGGTTGTTTATTGAAGAATAATGGAGAATTTTTAAAAAAAATGACAAATAAGAGAGATAGTAGTTTGAGGTTATTGCGCTTGATTTATTAAAATCCAGATACATGTAATTTGAATAACGCAGCTGAGTATTCACTATTTAACGTGATAATTTTATCTTAACTTTTTCTGTAGTTATCATTACTGATTTTCACTTTTTTTAAAATTTCAATATTTCAAACAACTAGAGAAATAAATTAAAAATAATTTTAAGATTTTTTACTTTTTTTTGTGTATAAAAATGACTCATATTTCTCTTCTATGTACAAGAAGAAAAAAAAAAGTACTTAGGGAGAAAAAACTGCAATTAAGAAACAAATTTCTTCATCCAGCAATCACATTTCTGTATTTTTTTTATAGGAATATGCTTGAATACTGAACAATGGCAAGCATTGAAAGAAAAAATTGATGACATTGATGATGCTGTGAAAAGATTTTAATTGAATTTTCTGTTTGTATACTTTTTGTGTTTGTCATTGATATTAAAAATAGTACATTTCATTATTCTCAGTATATTTTTTGTTTCACATGTTGTTAGCTTTTTTAAAACTGGTTCAATTAGTTTGGGAAATGAGTTTAAGCTTGTAACTTTCTTTTGAGGTAACATTTCAAAACTGCTAACAAAATTAGAAATTTAACAATGCTGAATTCTTTAACATATTTTCCAAGGCAGTAGTTACGTTGGGTGAATGATCTGTTTAAATAGTGAATGCATAATATTATAGGGTGCATATCATTTTAAAAGCTCTTTAAAGTGCTTTTTCATTTGGGTGTTTGTAAAAAGAGTTTAATTTTCCTTGCTAGATTTGCTTGAAATTTTCATTAGTTACCAGGGTTGGAGTTTTTGCCGGCAAAAAGGGGTTTTTGCCAGGACAGTGGCAAAAACTGTTAAAATCCGGCAAAAACCAAATTATCTAAATTGCTAATTAAATATTATTACAAAATACTTGAAACAAATTTAAATCAATTATAAGGAATAATAATTTTGATACATTACATGAAAAAAATTTTTTTTATCATATTAATAATTAATATAAAGGCAATAATTTTTAAAAGATTGAAAGTTTTTGACCTCTTTTTATTTTAGAATCCTTAAATAAATATTATTTGCATAAAAAATTATTATTTGTACAATAATTAACTACACATCTTGATAGATATTTTATGCTTTAAATTATAGTTATATTAATTTAAAATAAGTTCATTTCACTGGAAAAAAGAGAATAATCGCAAATTTACCAATCAATGCTTTAAACTACTAAAATGATATATTATTACATTATGATTTAATTATGGAATAATAATTTTGTTAATTTTTTTGTAATTATTTATATTTATGGTATATATTTCAATTTTAGGAATAATTTTGTATCAAAAATGTGTTTTTGTCCTCTCATCTTGGAAAATATAGGTTTTTGCCAATTTGCTTGGCAAAAACCTGTTTTTTACCGGTATTTACCATGGTTTTTTCCACCTGCGGCAAAATCTTGCCAACCCTGTTAGTTACTAAAAAAGATTCTCCACAAAATTATAATAATTTTTTCCTTGCATTCGCTCTATGAAAGTATTAATTTTAAATACATTTTAGATTTATTAAGTGTTTTGTCTATGAGTCTAGTACTTTATTAGCATTAAATTAAATGTTGAGCAGTAGCTTAACAAAATTTAAAAGACAGTGGTTGACATGACCTTTGGCTAGTTCTTTATATGGTTTATTACTAAGTTTTTTAATTGAGAACTAGAATTTAAAAATTTATGGACAGTTTAAGCAATTGAAAAATATAAGCTTTTGTATAATATAAAGTGCAGCAAAAATCACATATTTAAATTGTTCTGTACAGTACAAAATATAATTTATAGCAATCTAAAAATAAATAAGTGTAATGGATGTCCCAAAAAATTTGAATAATAGAGATTTAAAACTAGCTGCTTTCTGATAAGAAACCACAGAATTTTTTTTTCTCCAAGATTTGTTTCAATATTATAAAAGTTTTCCTTTCTTTCAGTGCAATTTATTGATAACTCTTTTGACACTTAGAACAAAGAATTCTTAAGATAAAAAAGCGATTCTAAAAATTCCTCATATTGAAATAAAACTCACATTTTTTTTCTCATTTATAGTTCTCAGGGATGAGAGTAGTCAGAAAGTAAAAAAGAGGAAATCCAATATATATATAAAAATCGCACTTTTTTTGTCAAATTTTTGTTTAAACTTGTAATCCATGTGATTCTAAATCACCTGAATATGAAACTCTACATCGAATTTAAAAAATGCGAAAATACTAATCGTGATGCATAATTTTAAAATCGCACAATATTTCAACCGCAAAAACGAATCACGACATTGGATTATAAGCTCGCGTAGCTACATAGGGTTTTAAAAGCTCGTAAATACAAATCGCGATATTGGTTTTTTAATCTCGTAAATAAGAATCGCAATGTGCAATATTTAAATAGCCTGAATAAGAATCGCAACGTTCAACTTTTAAATCAGGTAAATACGAAAATCGATGTTTGATAATAAAATCGCAATTTTAAAAATGCAAAGCACTATATTAGATCCTTAAATCTCGAAAATACGAGTCATAATGTACGATATTTAAAAAGCGTAAATCAGGTAAATACGAAAATCAATGATTGATATTAAAATCGCGTGAATAAAAATCGAGATATTTGCAGAGTCTGGACTTCTGATTTCTAAAAGGCTTGTTTGAATTGTTTACACAATAAATAAAAATTTACAAGATTAAGCAAATAAATATTTTCACCACAGATCCACCTCTATTTTCTGTTTGCTTTCTCTCCAGAATACAAGAAGCAGCGACGTCTAAATTACGAAAATACGAGCTATCCCGCCGACGGATAAAAAATACGGAAAAAATAGCTAATATAAGTAAACATGCTGAAGGATTAGCAGCTAGGACGTAGTTTGAATTTTCTGTTTTTCTTTGAAAATCGTGAATAAATATAATAATTTGACTTCAACGACTGAATTTAAAAAAAAAAACGGGATATTTATAAATGAATAAAAAAAAAACCAAACTTTTAGAGAATCTGAGTTTTTGATAAAAAGGCTGAAATTCGAGAGACAAAATCTCATCCCTGTATGAAGGTCAACCAGTTTTATCCCAAGGAAATGATTTTTAGAGAAACTTCAGAGTGAGGACTTCAATAATTTTGCTCAGCGAAAAATTAAATTCCTCATAAAATATTTCAACTTGTGCAAAAAAATGGAAAAGTCTGAGAAAAAGCGGAAATCTGCGAATCCGCGGAAGAATCTCATCCCTGAGTTCTTAATCAGATGTAAAACTATTCTGTAAAGAACTATCATCAAATAAAAAAAAAATTATTTGCAAGCAAATTTTTTATTATAAAAATCATACTACCATTTGCCATATTTTCGAATTTTATTTTCACTTAACAATTTTAATAAACACGGAACAGAAGAAATAAATATATATTAGTAATGAATACAATTATGTTACAAATCAGAAATATTTACAATTCAGTCAATCTAGAAAAGACAGTGAAGGTAGATCACTTAAAGTTTGTGAATGCAAAGATTCTTCTTGCATCCAGCTTACAGAGAAATCGACTTCGGGGACATCTGAAATGCCAGACAATAATAATAAACATTAAGATTTAAATTACAATGAGTGTTCAATAACTCCTTTACGCAATCCAAACAAAAACAGTACGAAAAAAAGCATTTTAGAAACCATGATATCTTACTTGATCGTTCTTAAAGTTACTACAACTTTATTCGTACTCTGGTTTCATTGTCATAGTTGATTCAGAAAACAAACTTCAGTTTATTTAGAACAGAAAAAATGAGTTATTAAATACTTCTATATCAAAAGCAAGGCGAGTGAAGTTTATGGCGTATTTGCGACTGATTACATTAGGGTAAATGAGTTTACACATGGCCGTTAATCCACTAATGTTGAATCTTTTTATGGGATATCCAGAGAAGTTGCCTCTCACAGAGATGGATAAAATGTATGACAGGATTTTGAGTGCTCAAAATTTATGAAATAGTTTTAAGATCATAGGTATCTCACAAAGTAAATAGTATTGAATTTTTCTAAAATATAGGGCTTGGCATGAAAAAATATTAGCAAGATGTCATGCTTGATCGCATTTAAAAATTCGCTTTAGTACAAAGGTTAATTTTTAATGGGAAAAATTACAGAATTCGCTTTAGTACAAACGATTAATTTTTAATTCCAAAAATTACAGAATTAGTATTCAAATTACAACATCAACCGTATTCACTAGAAATGGTACCCAAAAACTATTTTATTTCCAAACTTGAAAAAAATATTTCATAGGAATATGATATGTTTAATGAGAATTCCATTACCCAAACAGATACCACTTAGAGAATTTTTCAAAATTTTTGTATTGCTGTGAAAAAGGATAACATATTAGGTTTAAATTAGTTCAATATTTTTAAATAATTATTATTAAATAAATACTTGAAACCTATTCTGAAAGAGAAAAATCATATTAACTTAATCGAAATTTGATACAAATACAGTACAGAACCCGCTATCCGGAAAACCAAAAAACCGGAACGAAATTCGATAAATTTTCCCGCCATTTTAAAAAAAAAAATTTTTTTTTTCCTCATAAGATTTTAGGATTTTTCTTTCTTTTTTGAAAGATGATCACCTTATTATCATTTTGGAAATAATCATTAGTGTATTACTTCATCGTTTTTTCTTCTTTTTAAGATTATTTCCAATTTCTTTTTTTAGTTGGGTTTAACAATAAAAAAACGGCTTTTTGTAGCGATTCCGAAAACCGGAAAAATCAGTTATCCGGAATAGCGACGGTCCCGATCGTTCCGGATAATCGGTTCCCTACTGTATATTAGCATCATAAAAAGAATAAATCTTAACCACAATGTAAATGCACGATAAATAACCAAGTATGATACGCAATAAGTATAAAGTACAAAAGGTAAGTATAATGCATGATAAACAAGCAAAAGTTGGACGTAAGAAATATAAAAAAAACTATAAGCTTTCCCGTTCTAGATCGGTCTTGACAGCCTTCGAAATGCTGTTCATCTCTCACATAAGGCCCTAGTGCTCATCACAAAGATTTACTTCTGAAAAAAGGTTGAAACTTGTTTATTCCCAGTTAAAAGATTTGATTTTATAACGTTGTGGAACAGCCAAGTTTTGGGTTTATGTCTAACGTTCAACTCCGTAGGCTTCTAATTTTGAATCCAATCCAGAAGACAGGGGAACTCCAGGATCAAGTATTGGGAGAAATTTGCCTTCGTGGAGGACTTTGGATGAAACTAACCAGAAATTTGCGTTACTTGGAGAGGAAGACCACGAGAACCTCCCACAGTTAGAATGACGATAAGGGGACTAAGACATGATCCGTCTACCACTGAGGATATTTTATGTCAGCACTGTGGTCGGTGCAAGCTGGGTGCGGAATTTGTATTCGACTGGGATTTGAACCCGGTTCGCCTCATTGGAAGGCGAAGGCTCTATCCCATGAGCCATCACTTCAATCCTCAGAAAGGCAAGCTTTGGGTGCCTTACTCAAAACTTATTAATAAAAGCTGGGTATCCGCGCACCTGGGAAGTAATGAATTTCGGTATTGAACAAAATTTGTCATGATTTTAATAATTTTTTTAAAAAAAATCACGGGAAAGTCATGGATTTAGGTCACCGAAAAATCTAATTTTTATAATGGAACCTCCCCCTTCCTAATTTCAAGCTTTTCCGAATATCTGAATTTCGAGCAAAATCCCCTCTGACGGTCATATTTTATTAAAATATAAAATGTTTTTGTCATGTTCTTTAAAAGTTATAGTGTTCTTTCAAAAAATGAAAGAAAAGACATCATTTCTAGAGCGGATTGTCTTTTAAACTTCTGTGAGTTCAGAATTTTTATTATTGATAAAATAATCAATTTAAAATTCTAGCTGAAGCAAACCAGTCATTGGCTAATTTTTTTATTCCAAAATGAGAACAGGCAAATAGGAGTATTTCTTTCCTTTTTGATAAACAAGAAAAGTATCTTAAGGATATAATTCTGCAGGGAAAAAAAAAATGCTTTTGTATTTTTTTCCAGCTATTTTATTGCTTCAACTTTTTCTTCACTCTGTTTTTTAAATTTAAAATCTATAAACATGAAGATGCAGAGTATAACAGTTTTGGCTGTACCAGGCCCGGGCTGGGATCTAAAATCGGCCCGGGCATTTTAGAGATATCGGCCCTCAACTTCACATAAACACCACGTACGCGGCTCCTAATATATCATTTTTAGGCATTTTTTACTGATAAATTCTCATGAACGTAAGTTAATTTATCGAAGTAAGAAAGTTGATAAAAATTGCTTAATAATCCTTTATAGAATATATTTCAGTTTAAAATACATGGTTCTTATGAGGATAACATAGGTTGATAAAATCAAAAAGAAGGTGAAAGATGAAGAGTAAATAAAAATATTTATTATACTACACATACATGAATGATTTATGCAAACATTATTTTAAAAATAGATTTAATGCTTCTTCAAAATTCATTAAATTAAAATTTAATTTAACTTTTGAAGAGGTTCTCTATTTTCTGCCACTTGATCGATTATGTCGTCGCTATCTAATTTCATTAATAGATCTTTTTCTATTGCCATTACCATGAGAGCATTCAAATTATTCGAAGATAAAGTACTCCTCATTCGATTTTTAATTACTTTTAATGTGGAGAATGATCTTTCTCAAGCCACCTGACTTTTTGACAATGTTAGTAAAAATTTTAATGCCAGACTAATTAAATTGTAAGAATTGGTCAAATTGAATCTCTGTAACATCTTGTAGCATCAAATAACACAATTTTTGAACGCACTGCGTGTCTCACATTTTAGACTTACTTTTTCTGTTTCCAAAGTAAAGTCGTTATTATCTTCATTTGAATGATCTTCTGTGATTATTTTATAATCTTCTACGTCTGAATTTTTCAGTTTTTCCCAATGTAAAGCTAAATTTCTTAGTTCAATCCGCAAATTTTCACCTAAAGTTGTTTCGTCAAATTTTAGCAAGGGTTTGCTTAACTCATTTTGTTCGCCAGATTGAAGCTTGTTAAGACGTTTTTCAAGGAAACGTTTCGGATCTGGATAGGAAAAATTGACGTACAATTTTCCATTTGCCGGAAATCGGCGTTCCATAGACGCTACAACTGTGCTGCAAATAATGTTATGGACGTTTATCTTAAATGTAGTGGTTTCATTCGATGCTGTCTCACCCGGCCTCTATTTTCTTTTCTTCAATCTTCGTTACGAAAACTTTGTTTGAATTTCAGTTTCTTCAAGTTCCTTATTTCAGCGAATAATGAAATCATCGGTAACTTTTTGTACACCTTCAAAATCTCACTATTTTTTTAGTTCTGAACACATTTGTGATACCATTCTAAAAGCTTTTAAGATGTCTAAACCAGAGATTTGCAAATATTGGGAGAGCGGTGTAGTTAATTCAAATATTCTTGAGAATATTTTGACGGTGATTACTGTTTCATATTTGCAAAATGATTCTAAAAATAATTTTACCTTTGCACGGATATCTGGCTTGAAATTTGAATTTTGTTGTATAGTTTCTAAACTTGTAATCAATTTGACATATAACGGCTTAATAGTTGAATCTGAGTTTGAAAAAAAAAAAACCAAAAATTTTCTTTAATGCAGAATCTTTGGACCACCAACGTGTTTCTCCAATAGTTGCGAGACTTTTTTTATTTCAGTGCTCGTTACTTTGTTCCCAGATGTTCATGCGTTGGTATGATTCACGGAAAAATACTGCGACGCTATTTAGTAGGCTGAAAAACTATGCACTTTCAATTAGTGCCTTCATGGTATCTCCTAAAACTAAATTTNCGTGTTTCTCCAATAGTTGCGAGACTTTTTTTATTTCCGTGCTCGTTACTTTGTTCCCAGATGTTCATGCGTTGGTATAATTCACGGAAAAATACTGTGACGCTATTTAGTAGGCTGAAAAACTATGCACTTTCAATTAGTGCCTTCATGGTATCTCCTAAAACTAAATTTAAGACATGTGCATAACACCAAATATGAATTTGACCAGGGGACTCTTAAGAAAGCCATGAAGAAAATCCTTTAAATACACCTTGCATACTTGCAGCCCCGTCAGTTGAATTACCGATGCACTTTGTTATATCTATATTACAAGACTTTAAAACTGGATCCACTAAAGAAAACGCATTCTGTCCAGTTGAAGATTTACATACACACTACAACAGCGAGAAGTCTTTCATATACACAATATTTCATATATTTTTTAAATAGAAACCTATATCTTATTTGGCATCATTGGAGAGAGTTTTTGAAAAGAAATAACTTTTACTTAAAATATTTTTTAATATCTCCTACTATTTTCAAAATAGATAAGAAAAAATACATATTAAATAGATTTTGACATATTCACTAAAAACTTTTTTTTCCGTCATAATGTCTTTTACCTTCATTAAAACACATTTGTGCTTTTCACCCCATGTTTTATAAAAATTGAAGCGATTTTGATAATTTAAGTGAACTATTTTTGATAAAAATGATAAATTGAAGTAAATAATCAGAATTTTTTCGTATCTATTATCTTCAGAACAGTAAGAGCTATAAAGAAAATTTTCAAGTAAAAATTACTTTTTTTCGAAAACCCTCTCCAATAATGCCAAATAAGATAGGTTTCCATTTAAAAAATCAAAACTGTGTTCAAATTCCGGTACTTCCGGGAATTAACAATATCATTATTGAATTCCTTGGGGTCGATTTAGTTATTAGATTTTTATTTCAAATCGATTATTTGNGTGGATGGTCCCCTAGTTAATTCAAGGATCATGGTACTAATCTATAAATAGAATAGCGCAAGAAAACCATTAACTTTCCATTGACGAAGACGATGGTACATCAATAATGATGAAATCAACAAGAGAAAAAATTTTCTTTTGCTATTAAAATTTGGCAATGTTTAGTTGGTCCCCAAAACATTTTTGGCGCAGATTTAAAATAAAATGTCGTTTCTGCGCAGTAATGCGCAAATATACCGATTTGGAGCAAAATGCGCAATATGCGCAGCACTTGAAGTCCTGTATAATGCTTTTTTAAATTTATTGTAGTGAGAAAATAGTAACCTCTTTAAGTCTTGAAAAGTTCTTGGAATTAGTCAATGAAAGTCATGAATTTGAAAATTTAAAATGTAGCAGATACCCTGTAAAAGGAAAGTGTTTTAAAATTACAATGCCCAATAAGAAAAGAAAAGAAATAAAGTGCCCAAAATTAATTAGAAAATAATACTTTTACTTACAGCCATACGACAATACAATACTCTATGAAACCAATTAAAAAAAATCTAACATTTTATAAGCCTTAAAAAAAAGCTGAAAAAAAAATGGTGAAATATAAGAGCTAAAATATGTTAAAAAATAAAAATGAATCAAAAATAGTTTTTTTTCTATATGATTCTAAACTGAACATATCTCATTTCACAACATAAAAATATACTCATTTCCATAAGAACCAGTAATGGAAAATTAATTACCTGAAACTGTATCCTTATCAGTAGTACTTGTTAAAGATGTTTGGTTGAAAATTTCCTCATTGGCAGATTCAGTCAGATCACTATAATTCAACTAGAAAGAAAAAAATAAATATAAAACTAAATATAATAAAGGGTGCATAGCCAAATCTTTCAACAAAAATAAGCACCTTTTAACCCATATACATTAACAAAATGCAAAATAATTTTCAATACCTTTACATGATTAGGATAAAATAACTAGTTTTTGACAAAGAACTCTTTTCTGGAATATATTAGCCACCATTAAAAAGATGGAGAGATTTTTCGGTTCAATTTCAGAGGGTGGGAAGTGAAGCCTAAAATTGAGAATATCTTGCAAAATGCAGCAGAGTTGCACACGAAAGTGCTAGAATCTCACTGAACCCAGCTTAGTATATGCACATGAGGACCCGCAAGTAATTCATCAAACATATAAAATGATTGGATCATACGCTACGGACCGACTTGTATGCCGAAATGCATTGTGTTTGAATGAATTGTAAAAACTTCGCTTTTCCATAACGTGGCGAACATCGGCATAGTAAAGTATGGTATCTCATATTCGAAAAGGGAAAATTAAGCAAAACACCCAATGAAAAAAGCACCTTTAAGGGCTTTTAAAAATCGAAAATAAGCACTTTTTAAAGACGCTACACACCAAGTAATAATAATACTGAACTTAAATAAGGAATTTCGCACAGAATTCATTCGAATGCATGTTAGAAAGTAACAAACAAATTTTAGTTGACTCTTTGAAAGCAACAGTTGAACTTGAAAGAAGAAAATTTTTGCAAAACGCAGTTTTCATATTATGATTGCATAATAAGAAAAAACACTTTTATAAAACTAAAATTTAATACCATAAAGTTTCAGATAATAGTATTAAATAAAAAGTAAGACAGTTACATTTTTCTCAGATATTTGAGCCAGAATACAGCATTTTCTTACAAAATTAGCAAAATATTATTAAAAATAAATAAATTTTCTACAATTCAACAAAAATTTCTGACATTATACCTAGTAGCTTACTTTATTAATTTAATGATTAAAAGGAAAGTGGTGTTTTGAGTTTAAAAATCCGTAAAAATTTGTTAAGAAGGTTTAGGAAGAGATTTTAAAACAGATTTCTTGCTTTCTACAAGAAATTTGTTTTAAGGATAGATCGCAAAAGAATAAAGAAAAGTAGAAAATTCTTTTAAAAAAAAATCTTAAAAACCAATTAAGTTATTGTTTTTGGGAAACGACATCACATTTGACCATTTCTGAAAAAGGAATATATATTTTTCCTTAAGAAAACTAAATGTCAAAATGATTATCTTAATTAACCTATATATTTTTTTTACTTTTATTATTTAATTATGCAATAATTTTAAACTGTATTGAAACTAATTTTGTATAAGTATAAACTTTAAACTCACCCCATTATTTAAAGAAGTTAGGCAATTTATTTGGCCAGTTTGAATTGGAGAAACCACGCTATCATTTTCGCTAGGAGTTGGGTGATTTAGGATTTGAGAGCTATTTATTACTAACACTTTTTCAATGTTGTCATCAAGTTTCATGCCTAAAATTGAAAAAAACAAACATTAAAACTGAAAACATTTTGAAAAACTGAAGTAGAGTTAAGTAATTCTAATACTAAAAATACTACAGAATAAAAATATAGTAAAGAAAATTTTATAATTGAGTTTTTCCAATGTCATATGCATTTGATGCATTAAATTGGCGAGTAATATATATTTTTATGCTAAAATGTTTTAACGAATACCAGACCACTTATTTACAATACAATATAACTGATAATAAATAATTTGTATAATAATTATTTCATAATTAATTTAATAAGGTTGAAAAATGACTTGAACCTTCACAGAACAGCAGGATATCAATTCATTACAAAACATTTTCAATGAAAAGTTAAACAAATTACTTTCCATAGCATTAACAAATTACGCTAGCTATTCAATTTTTTAGCTTCAATCTCACTATCAATGCAGGGATAAAGTTTCCCATGATTGTAGTTCCAGGAGATAAAATTTGAATTGTGTACAGATAATTCAATTGTTGCACCTGACATTTTATTGAAAATTTGAGTATAAAAATATACTAATAATTACCATTATAGACAAACACATTTAATATGCTTCATACATGTTTAAGTCTTAAAAAGTAGCACCTTTCATGATCAACGACGTACTGTAATTAATAAACTATATTTTTTTGTAGCTGACCAGGCTCAGCCAGCTGTGATATCAAGTCCCAGGCACTGAATACTTGCCTTCAGATTGGAACTCCACAACCAAACAACACAGAATATATCTAATAGACAGTGTAATGCAAGTGCTGTTCGACATTTTTAATGCATGCAAATAAATACAGCTACTCAAATCAGGTTTCAGATTAAAATTTTTTATAAATTCTAGGTCAGAATTTTTTTTTTCCTCATAAAATATAGGATGGGTACAAGAAAAGTGTTAATATTATAAAGTATTTTATTTAAAACGTTATTTTGTTAATAAATCATCTTGAAAAAATAATTCGATACAATTTACTTTAGCAACTTAGCAAGATTTTATTTTTTAAATTTATAATGTTTAGGTACAATATTAATTTTTGAAAAATTAAGATAGATGTGGGGAAAATAATTTGTAGAATATATTGTTTTTAAAGAATAGAAAATATTTCAATGTGTTACTTAAAATAGTTTCTGCACAAAGTGTACCCAAATGGCAACTACAGAGTGACCCAAAAAACCTTTAAGTACTGTTTAATATATTTTCATTAAGCAAAAGAAAATAATTTCAGGTGATTAAAATCAATAAATTTTTATATTTATTTACCACTGAATATCCATTTTATACTGTATTTTATCTAACAGTTCTCTTAATAAAATTCATTGACCATATTTTCTTTAAACCAATATCTAAAGTCAAATGGAGTATTATTTTGAATTAGTATTATTTTAAGAGATATTCAGTATTCAAAAATAAATGTTGCAAATGCAAAATTTCTTGATGTATAATATTCAATAGAGAAAAACTAGATAAAATTCTTTAAATTTCATTCTTATTTGAAAGTAAAATATTTAAAGAATTCCAATCTAACCACATGGTGTTTTAGTTTAGATTAGTTAATTGTTTTTACAACTTGGCAATTCCATGGTGTCGGATGTAAAAAATGAACATGAATTTCTCAGAAAATACTCTCTCATAAAACATAATAAAATTTTTATATCAAATATTTAGTCCACCATAACCTATCAAAAAAACATTTTGTTGTGTAAAAACTGATTATGATATGTTCAAACTAAATGGATTAAATTGTTGGTGTCGGACGTAAGCCGCACAAACACAATTGTGAATGGATTGTGGTTGAATGATTGTGGAAACCACACTTTTTGCATAATTTGTGGCGAAAATAGACACAGTGAAGAAAAAATTAAGCACTATTTAAAAACCCCCAATGAAAAAAAGGATCTATAAAGGCTTTTATAAACAAAAATTCAAAATAAACACCTTAAGCAATTTTTATAAACAGTACACACCCTGCCTTTAGTTGTGAGGATATGAATTGAAAATTCAATATTTTAAAATCTAATCTTATAATTTTACAAACTGTATACAAATCAGATAGTATAAATATTTTAGGTTAGGATTTAAATGCTTTACAAGATAGATATTTACAAGTATGGTATAAGAGATGCACAAAAGTGTAATTTAAATTGAAATAATAACAATTTATAACAAAAAAATGTGAGAAAGATGCTTTTTACTCACTCAGAAAAACATAGATGATTTGGTTTAGTTTGTCAAAAATAATTGTATTGAAACTTTTTATATTGAATAAATACAATATTCAAAGGCAGCTTTTTAAATAAATTGTATACATATATTTTTAAAAATAATTTGTATCATTAACTTGTCAAACAACTTGTACAAGTCTATTCTATCTAATATATATATATTTTTTTGTGGTAAATAATATGCATATACTATTTCGCGTACTGTTTACGTGCATCCCCATTGTCCGAAAAATAATTGGTGTAAATTTGAACCAGTAGTTTAAGAGCAATAAGGTTTTAAATAAATTCTGTTATATTTTTTAACATTAAAAGTCTTAGTTACACAGTTACAAACTATCAAATAAGCTTACCTTTAACAGAAGGGCACAAAAATATAGGTGTATTTTCATAAGATTTTAAGCATGCCTCTGGTGATGGTGGAAGATCTTTAAAGAAATTCTAACAAACAAATGCATAAGTTTAATTTAAGAGTACAATTTGTACATTTATAATAAAGTTAAACAAAAATGTATATTGATAGCGAATTATGAACGAATGACATTAATCCGTCTAGTGTAAAGGTCAATAACAAAATCGAGACAATAATTCTTTGGAGAGCATATGCAATAGGACCTCTATTTAACGAAGTTCCTAAATCTCGATAAGTTTGTTAAATGGAAAATCACCTTTTGAAATACTTAAACACAAAAGTTGTTTTAAACTCATAAACTCTAGAGGTAATTAATTATAATAGCAATTGATACACCTTTATCTTGAAAACTAGCATCTACTATTTATTTCATAAATATTAACCATAAAAGAAATCTGCATGGAAAGCAAGACTAGAGCAAAACATTATCCAGTGTTACACACATATTACATAAATTTTCAACTAAAAAAAGGAAAATTTACGTATAAAAATATAGTTGCATTCATTATAAAAGTAATTTTAAACATACATTAACCACATTCGTTCTTAAGTTTAATTGCTGCTGATTTTATTCCGTTAATTTTGTCTGAGTTTTCGTTTGAAATGTGAGCAAAAAGGGAAAAGGATTTTTACTGTTATCTCTAAAAGTTAAGTGGCTTCAAAAATCAATTTTTCCCATAAAATGCGTTAACAAATGTGAGAAGTTCTGAAATATTTTGGGAAATAGGGAAAGTGGATCGCAAAGAAAAGTTCATTAAATAGAAAATTCTCTTTCCTGCTTGGAAGTTATTTTACAAAGAAATTTCCAAAACGTTCTTGTTTCCTCGAAAAAAATCTGAAAATGGAAGTTCGTTAAATAGAAGTCTGACTATATATTAATCTCTAAACTAAATCAGCTTAACTCTGTAATAAATTATTTGATTCACAGACTAAAAAAAAACATGTTTAATTTTATATATTTACGTGAAACAAACTACCATAGCTTAAGTAAAATACAAATTTGTATTAAAACATAAATAAGTGGGTAAATTTAACAAAGTTCGAGTAAGAGAATAGTGAAGTTAAGGGAGACCTCAAGAACTTAAAAAGTAATGAATGTAAAATGTAAAGCATGAGACAAACGACTTTAGAATCAAATTGTTAATAAGGCTAAGGTTTAATATGGGCGTAGTAGTTTCCTCTGAAAAGTTTAATGAACTTCACAATATTTGTAGAGCTTGAACCAGTAGTTAAAGGTTTAAACAACTTCATTTTAATTCATAATACAAAAATTGTAACTTCTATTTGAATTGCGAACACCTGGCATTATTCTATAGCAGTGGTTACCAACTGGCGGCCTGCGAAGCCTTTTTTTTTTGTGGGCCAAGAACTAATATACTTTACTTTTCATTTTTCTACTGACAGTTTTCGTAAAAAATCTATATGGGTTTAAAATACTTTTTTTTGGTTAAAAAAACCCCCAATTTCTTCGTTTCTGTGAAATTTAACATACCAACAATGCGAGAAATTTTTTTTTCTCTGCTTTTGCAGCCAAGAAAATATTTTTTCAAGAAAATATTTAGTATTATTTGTAATTCAATTCTTTTGTTTCGAACAACTCGATAAAAATCTGACAGTAGTATTTAATGTTCCTTCAAGCATAAAAGAGTCCTATATAAAATTTTGACCAAGTTGCGGCCCGCCATTTGACTGGTGTTTTTAATTGTGGCCCCATGTAAGTTGGAAACCACTGTTCTATAGCAATGGCTGTCTACATCTGACAAAAATTTAATTAATTACCAGGTTAGTTATAGGTACTTAGCATTACAAGGAGTATGAGGATGACATAATAAACCTCAATGCAATATTTAATATTTTCAGAAAAAGTTAACACTCTATTATTTTTTAACTCTGAAATAAGTTGTAATACACTGATAAAATGCACTGCACAAAATCTCTTAAAATATTACTGAAAGAAATTTAAAGATAATGATTTCTTTTAAATTATTAGATAAAAGAAGTTTAAAGATAATAAAAATAAAGGAATTTAAAGATAATAAAGATAAAGAAATTTAAAGATAATAATAAAATAATTTTAAAATAATTTTTATATTAAAATTTTTATACAAACATAATCTTTCAAAAGATCATATTACATAATTAACACAATATTTACTAAAAAAACCATTTTTTAATAAATGCTTTATTCAATAGAGTTCATGGAATGAGAAATGCTTGATAAGGTGTTTTTAAAACTAAGAGATTTTCTTAATGTTATGATTTTCTGAACTTCTCCAAGCCTGGCCCAACCATCTTAATCTATTGTTATGGATAATTTGTGTTAATTTTTAATGAAAATTATTAAATCAACTATTCATACCTGCCAATATTGGAGAAATAAAATAATGGAGATTTTACTAGCAAGATTTTTCAGGCTACGAGTAAAGTTTTAATACATCATGCATAATCATGCAAGTTAAAAAGAGAAATTCAAAATTGGAAATAATATAAGCACTTAGATTTAGCGAAATAAAAAATATATATAAATCCTGATCTAAAGAAAAATTTTTTAAAACCATTATTTATAATTACTTAAACTACTAACACTTAACATACTGTAGTAAATATCTGCAATAGCACGATCTGTTGAGGAATAGGAGAACTATTTTGCCATCAGTGGATATTTTTATTACCAAATTCCTTTTTAAAAAATTTTTCGTCAATAAATACGGAGGAATTTGAGAATTAGGACCCTACATGTGTTGGGCAATCAAAGAATGTTGATTATTTTGTCTATTGAATAGTCTATCTCTTAAATCTTTCAAAACTCAATAAAAAATTTTAAAAATTGACCTAAATTTAAAAAAAAATTATAACTTAAAATTAGCCCAAAACAAAACTAATTCCATGTGACACAAAATGAGGCGGTGTTTGCTCATGACGTCAGAATATAATTTCTCAGCAAACGGAAGGAGTTAAACCAAAGCTTTCAATCGAGAAAAGTGTTATTGCTTACAAAGGCACTGTCCTCTGTGATGGGAAAACTAGCTGCGATTAACTATTAATAACAAAATAACTAGTAATCTCACTGATCTGAAATTGGTGTCGTTCTTTATAAAATGTAATGTTTAATTTAAAAAGATTTTTAAAAAAAGCAGTCGGGTTCCTCACATACGAGTAAATAGGAGATAGTCGTAAAATAAATGAGTCTTCGCTAAAAAACAGGAGACTTGGTAGGTATGAATATTACATGAAATTAAAAATACACAGATTTCATAATTTTTCTCTTATTTGGGAAGTGGTAACAAAAATGTGGAACTTATTTGAATTCAAATTTTCTTTAATGCAAAGCATTAAATAAAAAAGAAAAATTCTATTACCGATTTATCGTCCATAAAATTAGGCTCATTCATTATTTCTTCCTTAAGAGTCTGGAGCTGATTTTTATTTACTTGATTGTCTTTTTCTAAAAGATCACTGAAATAAATTTAAAATAAATAAAATGCTTGTCATTGAATTAGTTATTTACAGGTTTATTACAGATTTAATAATTAGAATTTTCAGCAGCTTAACTAGGTAAATGTAAATAAAATAGTCTTAAATGTAAATTGGCTGATTATAGAATTTGCTTATTACATGTAATATATTTTATACTTTGTTAAAATTAAAATGATCCCCAGAAACTCAAAAGCAGACAGCTGGAAATTAATAAATTTATTTTAAATAATTCGAAAAATCCAATAATTATAACTTTATTACGATCTTGAAAAAATTAAAGACAAATTTTCAATCAACATGATTTTGTATTTCAAACGTTTACATTAGAAAATCCTTTGGAACTACTTTATATTTTGATTAAAATAAAAAAAAAAACTTGTTATCAAAAGGAGAAATTAATATATTCATTTTAAATGATTATATTAAATTTTTAATCAGTATGGCTTTTTATTTAAATGAGTTTATCAAAGAATAATCTAAAATCACTTATAATTTGATTAAAATAAATAGTAAATTTTATACACATTAAATTAAATTTTAGGTAAAAATATTATCATGGCTGCCAATGTATATAGGAAAAAATTTAGTAGATTTTACGATAGAATATAAATTTACTGATATACTAAATATTTTACATAAAGGGAATTTGAGGGATTTTTATTGTCAGCAAAATACAAAAACATTATTACAATAATAACTATAAAGGGTCTGGAATATTTTCCATTTATGATTGGCTCGATTTTGAAATGTTTTTTTAAAATTTTATTATATTAACTGATAATTTTGAGTTGTAATAGACAAGTAGTTTATTTATGATTGTTAAAATATTTTTTAATTAATTTAAAAAGGGAGTTCTAAATAAAAAATAAACTGAAAATTTCAGGAAAAAGAAATTAAAAGAGAAAAAAGTTTTAAACTGATTCATTATTTATTAGCTTCATTATGAATTAGTAATACTTATTTAAATATTTAAGTAAGCAAAAAATTGTGTAAAAATTTTATTTAAATAGGGATATTTTTGGAAACTTACTCAATTTTAGAGAATTTTCTAGAATGTACAAAAACTAGGAGAATTTATATTAAACGAGTAGAAACTGGAAAGATCCAATAGAGTGGACAGCTATGTATATTTTAGATTTTACTGAGAGGTTTGCTAAAATCAAACATATTTGAAACTCATTTTCGAATTTTTAAAGAATTAAATTATGCCAACCTCAGTGTTAAATTTAAATTTTTGGTTAAAATATTATCATAGCTACCAACATATATAGGAAAAACTTCATTAGGTTTTATGAAAGAATATAAATTTCCTGATAACTGTTGCATAATATTCTAAATATTTTACACATAGGGATTTTAGGGATTTTTATTGCCATGAAAATACATAAAACTTTATTACACTAATAGTTATAAATGGTCTGCAATATTTTTCATTTATGACTGACATTAAAAGAACTTGATATTGAAATTAAAATTCAAAAAAAGAATTACTTTATCCAAATTCAATTATCCAAAGAAAATTCCATGGGAAAAATAACTTAGTAAATGATTATTATTAAATAAAAAAATAACTATTTTATTTAATAATTTAAAATTTTAAGGTACAAGATTTTTAACACATCATTTCAAAGAATGTAATTTTACATGGCAAAATAGAAAAGCTGTATTTTAAAAATTTACAAGCTTTTATTTTTTATCAGTGCATTGTAAAATGAAACGGAGTAATTAGAAGTAACAAAATAATTGCTTGAAATTTATTGACAAACATTTAATTTTACTTGCAGGTGAAAAAGAAAAGAGCTGGCTCTTGTAAGAGACCATACAGTTTTAAGTATGTATCATAAATTTTTTTTATTTAAAAGGAACTTACCAGAGAGACTGCAACATTTTAAAGCTCTTGTCAAGTTCTGATGTATGTTTCAAAAACTGGAACTTATAAGTTTCAGAAAGCTCACCTAGATTTTGAAAATAAGTGTATGATATTTTAAATAATTATAAAGTGAGTACACACAAATGCATGTGCATGAAAAATTTTTAGTGTTTGAATATAATTATGAATTTGTAGAAAGAGAGACAAAGCTAGTTTATAGATATAAGGAAGTATTGGATATAAGGAAGTATTGGTAGAAATTTGCTTTCTTGGAGGACGTTTGGATGAAACTAACTTGTATTTGCATTACATGGAGATGAAAACCTCCTACAGGTTGCCTGACAGCAAAGGGACTTTAACCCATGATCCATCCATAGTCTGTTCAACGAGAACTGATAGTGAAAGTAAACAAAGCGGAGTGCTATTTGGCGCAATACCGTCGTCTGCTTGCCGTCGGAATAATGACAAATAGCGCCTATCAGTCAAGCAAAAACTTTTATTTCTTAGAGCAAAAACTTTTATTCTTTTTATTTTCTTTCTTATTTATGTTATTCTTACAAATTTCTTCCTAAACTTATGTGTACCCTTTCTAAATTTTTCGTAACGCTGTGTACCATTAATAAAAAAATGAATGTATTTTTTACTAAAAACAAATTGCACAAAAGTTCAAAATCACAACTGGCTGTTGACACTACTAATTTTTAACTGTTAACTATGCAAAAAATATCCAATAGAAAAATATGTAATCAGAAATTTTCATGGCTAGCTTTGTTTTTAAATAAACTTTTTGAAATTTTTGTTTGTTGCAAGATATTAGGCATAAGAACGCATACCCCCGCTAAACTGCTACCGTACCCATGGGGTACGCGTACCACACTTTGGGAAATACTGTCTTAAAGGGTTGTTTGTTTCGCAATGATGTCTTTTTGCAGGTGTTTCATGAGCAATATGGAAAATAAAGTGATGGTTTTAAGTCCTCCTGAAAACGGCAGAAGAAATCTTGCATAAGTAAAGCTGAGAAGGAAATAATATCGATGAGTTCATGATTTTTTCCGCCGTAACGGAATTCCGACAATAAACAAAGTTCTCAAAGCTGTGAACAATGATTCTGATTTACCAAACTTTAAAAGAACGACATTTTATTCCCTGTTAAAAGAATTAGGCTTCAAACATCAAAAACCTACCTAGTTTCATTTTTATTCTTTTAAGGATATAATTATTCAATATTATCCATGATTAATCGTTATAATGACATCGTTAATACAGTAATTCTTAAAATTTTGTTATTTTCTGCATAGTTTAATATAATTATTTTTGCTTTCCGTACAATTGTTAATTAATTACAAAAATTCAAATGCTACTTAAAATTAAATAATTTTTAATACTTCATTCCATTTTCAAAAACCTATTGAATTCGAGGTTTACAAACTGCTTTTTTTTTAATAGGTTAAGTGAGTATAATTTTCTTAACTAAAGATTTTGTGAGATATAAAAAAGTTCCAAGTTTCTTTTAGTGAAATTATTTTTGCAATACTTCCCTTAGAAAAATAAAGACAACAGTTTAAAAATAGAAATAAATGAAGTTCCTTCAAATATATTTTTAAATCAATCGGTGAAACATAAAACTATTTTAAATATTATTTAACCTTTAATAAATTTAAAAAAAAATTGCAATTATGAAAATAAAGAGTATTTTTTTAACATATTCTTTCAATTCTATATGACTTTTACGATGGAATATTAAAAGTTATGTTTTGCATAGATATTTATGCAAAATATATTAAAACTAATTTAATTTTAACTTAAAAAAAAAATACATTGAAACTATTATCAAAATAAAATTAACTGCTTACTGAAATAATTAGAAACGTATTTTCATGTAAATATTTTAAAGTTTTTTATTAATAAATATTTTAAATACGTAAATATTTAAAAAAAATTTTATTAACACATTTGTAAATATTATACGTTTCAGTTTTTCTATAAAAGCGAAAGCTCTGTCGATTCAAACAAAATCGTCCATTCAGCGAAGAAACCGTTGAAGTGGCAAACGTTGGCGATCAAACAGCAACCCTTATGTTTACTTCTACTATCAGTTCTCGTTGAACAGACTATACAAAAGAGGACATCTTACATCAGCACTGTGGTCAGTACAAACCGGGTGCGCAATTCGTATCAAACAGTCATTGCTAGGATTCGAACCTAGTTCATTTCATTGGAAGGCGAATGCGTTACCCCCTGAACAACCATGGCTCTAAGGTAATATTTTATGACCATCGTTGAACAGCCGAGCCAATTTTGGGTCTATGACTAAAGTGGTCAACTATGTAGTCTAGTAATTGTGAACCCGATCCAAAAGACAAGAATTTCTGGATCAAGTTTTGGGAGAAATTCGCCTTCGCAGAAGACTTTTTGATGGAACCAATCCGCATTTGCGTTACATGGAGAGGAAGACCACGAGAACCTCCCACGGTTAGCCTGACGGCAAGGGGACTCTAACCCATGATCCGTCTACTACTGAGGATATTTCACGTCAGCACTCTGACCGGTTGCTGGGATTCGAACCCGATTCACCTCACTGGTCATTCTGAGGTCATCGCGGGTTCTGAGGTAATATTTGAAAGAAATATTGATTATAATATAAAAAATAATAAACCGAGAAAATATATTTAAAACTTAAAAAAAAAGTAATCTGATTGAGAAGTCTATTCTATTTATAAAGAGCATAATAAAATGCTATGATTAAATTTGCAGGAATCTGTCCAGAACAAATTTAGGAGCTATACAGTGGTTCTTTCACAAGTGAAACTTTAGAAAAAGCAGTACTTACACAAAATAATATTTGAGATGCAAATTCTATGATTTTGCTTCATAAAACTTTAAGTGTTCTATTCGATGAGTTGAAAATTACAAATTTAGAATTCTTGATTGGAATGTTAGAGTCAAGACTGTTTTCTCAAATGAATTTAAATTGTAGAGATTTGTGTTTATAAATGATGCAATAATCTTTGGATATGTATTTAAGAATAACTTTAAAAAGATCCTGCGTAGCCAAAAATTTCAACAAAAAATAAGCACCTTTTAAGCACTTTTAAAAAATATATAATTAATCGGGGTTGGCAAGTTTTTAACAATTGCAGGGATGCTACTCGCAAAATATCAAATTGTCTCACCAGAAATTGCATTTCGTCTCAGTTAAAATCTCTTTTTGGCTCAGTTTGTCTCAGCTAAAATTATTTTTTTCACTCAGTTTATCTCAGCTAAAATGATTATTAATCAGTTTGATAACAATATAAAGATAATTTTCAGGATCCATAAAACCATTAATAGCATACTAGGAGTACTACAATTATACATACATTCACTATTGCTAGGATTTTAAAAAACCTGCATATGATTGATTATAAGAGTCCACAAAATTGTTTTATGGACTCTGTTGTTTTCATATATATTGCATTTATCATTTATGCCAATGAATAGTATCTGTTCCAGAATTTTACAAAGTAAATTTTAACTTTCTTATTTTTTAAAATATAATGGTGTTAACTTTCTAAAAAGAAATATCTATTTAGTTTCAGTAATTCAAAAGGGAAAATACCCATTTTATTTTGAGCTCAAATTTCATCTCAAAATATATAACTATTCAGTTACAATGAAAGGTCTACAGATTTCAATAATTAAAAGAGAAATTCAGTAATTAAATAATGAGAGTTTAAGAAAATGCAAATAACACAAAAAAAAACACTCTTTGATAGAATTCAGGAGGTGCAGTGAAATTTTGAAATATTTTAGGTAGGAATTTTTCAAGAAAATTTTAGGGAGCACTTAATAGCCAAAAATTAGCATATATACATTTTTATATCAAAACAGAAATATTTAAAAACTATTATAAACAATTTAAAAAGACACATATAAATATAATTTTCTTTCTAAAATGACTTGCATCCTTTATTAAGTATAAAAGTAAACTTTTTAGTTTATTGGCATTGACTAGTAGATTGTACTTTCTTGCATTCACAAGATTAGTTAGTTGACTATGTTCTTTTAATTTGTATAGCTAAATATACAATCATAAAATGTGATTATGAATGCACTTAGTAATTGTTTAAATGCAACAACTGTAGAAAAATATATCACATCTTTACAGTAACTAATTCAAGAAAAAACTTAATTCTACTTCTTTCTAGAATC